CAGTGTCAGCACAGTCAGCAGCACTAGTGCTGCAAGAGTTCCTGCTGTCATGGCAGTGGTGGACAGCAGCAGTGAAGAGTCAGAGCAGGAAGCTTCAGGTACAATTCATTTACAAACCAAACATGTAGGCTATGCTTTTAGAATAATTATGATGCTTCTATACTTATAATAATTTATATAATGATCAGTATACAATTAACTTTACAAGTATAGATTATAGATAGCATGTGGAGTCTTTGCTTTATTATTTTACACTCTTACAGCAGTAGGCGCCCAACCTAACTCACTCTTGGTGTTTTGCGTTAATCGGGTGGTGGTGGCCTGGGATGGTATCAAATTCCCGGCCTGAATTATTGTCCCAGTCCGCCCCTGGGTCAGACGCATAACAATCTGAGCCTGTCCGTGGCAAAACCAAGCACCTTTAGTGGTTCTACTTTAACAGACATTTGTCTCCAAGGATTAGCCACATTGCCAGCTCAGACTGCTTCAGGGATGATATATTTTTGTAGGCCAGCCCATAAATTACTCTTAATTCCTTCGACAAGTTTACAAATCTACAACTTGGAAAGTTTGAGTTAGAATAGTTTAATAGTTTAGAAGAGGATAAATACGAGGCTGTAAAAGCGGACTAGTGAGTAGACAAGTCTCTGTGTTCAGCATGCTGATATTTAATGTCACAGACAACCTCTGAGGTCTCATTTAGCAGTCAGCAGTCGCCTTTTTAAGACATGTAAAAGCTTCAAGATTCAAGTGTGGGGAATTTACTGACGTATTTAATTTAACCACTTGTAAATCTCTCCAAAAACCAAAAACGCATTGAATTTGAGGTGAGGGAACCAGAAGTGCCAAAATGGTAACTTATTTCCAGGTATTAGGACTCATTTCCTGCAGCACTCTATTGCAGCCCATTTTGTGAATAATTTTACATTTTACTCTTTAAACTAAACCAACACTTGTGTAGGACCTTGTCCTCGTCTTCCTCTACAAGAGACGCTTTATCTGTCTCTTAATTCAACAATCATCATATTATTTTGATTATGTTCCACCAGGAGAGTTTTCAAGGCTTTTTTCCCTTTGACCTTTTTGACCCAGGAAAGGAGGTGAGACTGTGGCGCCGACGGTCTCCTGCAAAGAAAGCCTGGTTCTTTTCAGATTCACAGATGGGATCTCTAGGTGTCAATTTGCTTTATCCTCTTCCACAGATCAGAACGGCACCCTACACCTAAAGTGGATCGTGTGTGATAATTAAATGCCTTTTTGATTGTAAATCAGGGTTAGATATCCCTGAAATGTGTGTATCTCTTTTAGTCTGACAGGTCCACCTCCAGAGAGAAACTACTCTGGAATCCACATCTGGCATTCTGACACCCCTTCCTCTAAAGTGTAAATTACGATGTTTTCTTTTGATAGTGGACATTCCAGTCTAGGAAGCAGTAACAACAGTTGCACGGATATAGATTTAGTTCTGTTGGAGTATTATGGTAAAATTTCAACTTCTCAAAATTAACAGATTGCCATCCAGCATGAGCAAATGTAATGTTTGTCTGATGTTTCTATCTTCAGATTGGACTAAGTTACAAAATCATGTGTAAAATGCTTGAATGTTTGATGGAGCCACAGTGTCACCCTTGGGTAAGATTCTGGTATAGCGTAAGGTATTTTCAAAACGGATTTTGTTTTATAATTGTGTATTATTCCAAATGGTAAATGCCTGACACACAATTTTATAACAAGAATTAAGCTAACACTATATGAAATGTGTACAATCCATTAGTGTTGCTTCATATGCATGTTTGTGACATTTTAACTAGTTCTGCTTTTATTTTTACATCAAGTAATTTTGGTTTCTTTTTTTTCCTCTTACTTTATACTTCCAAAACTCTCTTCTTAAATTAACTATTGGATCCATTCGTTATTTACTCTCGTTATACTTTTAATCTCCATACTTTACTTCGTTTGAGACACGTGTTGAGTTTTTCCTCACGTAATATTTGCTGAAGTACTTTTTAGTACTTTTATTTTGAAGGCTCAAGACATGAACAAAGTTAATTCTTTTATAAGTAGTTTTAGTTTATATATCTTGTCAAGTATTGTCGCCTAATTCACAGAAAGTGAATTTAGTTTAATTCTTGGACTAATGCCCAATTGTTTTGGTCTGAGATACTGGTACTCTAGTGCAACACCTGAAATTTTATTAAGTTCACCATATGAACCCTAAAGGTGATATTATGTCAGTTGTTGTGTTCACAGCTTGTGTCTGCTACCCCAGAGTGGCCAAAAAATAAATTAATACAGGTTTAAATCAGACATAAATGGACAATCAAGTCTACAGATGACAAAAGTGGTACTGCAATTAGCAGTTCCATTAATGTGATAGACTTTGGTGGTTTAAAAACATTCAAAGGCATTTTTTACTGACAAATGAGCAGAATTCAGCCTGGTCATACTGCATCATCAGAAAGAAGTCTCCTCCATCACATTAAAGTTATTTTAGAAATGATTTTACAGTATTTAACAGAATGATGTGGTCTTTAATGCCGGCTTTAAAAGTTAAGGCTGGGAACATTATGATTCCATACACACTTTAGCCAGGTAAAGGAACAAACAAGTCTATATAAGCACCTTAGTAATTGGGTAGCATTCAATATCCTGCAGTAGCATTGAGGGGTACTGTGACAAATACTAATAAGCTTCTGGAGGTGGGAGAAGAAGAAGGACCCTGTCTGAGTTAATAGTTAGTAACTTGCCATGTGTTGGCCTCCTGGGAGGCAATATTCGAAGAAAACAAATAGTTTAGCTATTTTTTTGAGCGTTTTAATCTTTTTATCTTTTTATCATAGATACCTGCCTGTTTTAAAGGTAATTGGCCCGGGCTTATATATATATATATATATATATATATATATATATATATATATATATATATAGGCCAAATCCAGGTTCTCATTTCTTATCCAACAAAGGTGCAATGAGTTTAGTAAATGTAGCCTTGAGAGAATATATGTAAACAGGCTTGTAATGGCAAGGTTGCTGGGGTTTGGATTTTGCAGGCTGGCTGGGAATACATGAGTGGGGAAAGTGAGCCATGGCACATTTTTGGCCTCTGGGACATTTTTACAGAAAATACAAAACAAAAAAATGTGATTATTGACGAAAAAAAGACCCCAGAGGCCCAAGTGGTTGGGGGGCTCTGATCGCACTGCCTTTTTGTGAACTGACTGGTATCAAAGGATAAGACAGAAGAGTTTAGGAGTAGGGGTTTTCTTACTTAAAAAAAAACTAGTGCTATCAGTTAAACCCATTTTAACGGCGTCAATTTTTTTATCGCGAGATTAGCGTTCTTTTTGGCTTAGCACACTTTGAAGTTTTTTTCACATGCTGTTGCAACAACTAGTAACGTTAGAAAAACTACAACACCACACCAGATCTAACTAGACTGGAAATAAAAACAACAGGCACACACTTGTTTAAAAGTATTAGACGTTAAGTTTTGAGTGGATGGCGAGCGCGAGATGCCGAAATGGATGCCAATAATATTCTGAATGGAAAGTTTACTTTTAAAAAGTTGCCAAATGGTTCCATTGACAAGACCAAAGTGATCTGTGTGTTTTGTCGCTGTGAACTGAGCTATCATCGCAGCACGTCCAGTCTGAAATACCACTTGATGGCCAAGCACACAGCTGATGCCAATTCTCCGCCCCCTCGTCAAAGCCAGGCGACAATGGAGGATTTTTCAATAAAAACAACACAAAGCAAGCCAATCCACTTTTCCATGTTGATAAGACCATTAAAATGAGAAAAAATAATGGGACAAAAAGAAATCAAGGGACATTTAGAATAGATAAAAATGCGCGATTAATTGCGAGTTAACTATGACATGAATGCGATTAATCTCGATTAAATATTTTAATCGTTTGACAGCACTAAAAAAAATATAAAAAGCATACCAAAATGATGCCACAAAAAAACAAACTGTGGAAAAATGCGATAAGAATAAATATCAGTATGACGTTATATTAGGGCCATTGTGGTTAGGGGGGTAATATTCCAAGATTTCTTGTAAATTTGCAACTTCAATCTTTGGGAATATCCAAGTTTTTTTCCTAGCAAATTACCACATGGCTTTGTAATTTATAGGCTGTATAAAGTAAGTATCTCCAGTATATCTGGAGATATAATTGCTGTTTAGCATGTTAATTTCTGAGCATGTACACAATAAACAGTCCAAACAGATGCGGGGGCCTGGCCTAAGCTTGCTGTACATAAAAACCAGTAAGGCGATACCTCTGCTTTAAGAACATATACTGTAAACTGGTAACTGGTTTACTTTGCTGGTTTACTCTAAAGGCATATAATATTTGATACATTTGTGGAAATGAGTGTTAGTGTGGATTGAATGTGGCAGTGTTTTTTGTAAAGGAGCTAAAAAACCTCTCTTCATCTCCAGCATGAATGAAAAACAGAGTTTAGGTGTTCAACCCACAGCAGCACTTATAGTCAACCTGTAAAATGTTGCTGAAAAAGACACTGGAATGTACAAAAATACTATCCAACGTGGTGATACATTTCTATTTGTCAAAAAAATTGACAGTATGTAATAGAATACAGACTGGATCTATACAGAACAATACGATACGACATGACATGATACAGATCCGTAAATTTATATACCATTGGATCTTTACAGACACAGGTCATTCTTGTCCAGTGAGATACAATACAGTAGGGCCACCTCTATTTGTCTGTCTGTGCCAGGGGCCCTTTATCCCACATCCATACTCATTATAACTGTGGTAACTGTTACAGCCTTTACAGAGTTAAATTTTTTGGGAATAGCGTGGCGCAATTACAGACAATATGCCCTTAAGCAAGGCTTCTAATCTCCAGCAGCTCTTGTGGAGCCATTCATTGGCTACCAAGAGGGCACTAGAGTTGTTCTGTGTGACATGAAATGTATATAAATACATGTATAAAGCTGAACTGAATGTCAGTAATCTTACTTCAATCTGCAGCAGGGCTTCCTCTCTTTGGCGAAGCACCTCCACGTCCTCCTCACTGATCTCAGACAGGAAGGCCTGAGCTCCTCCCTCCGAGACTACCGCTTCTCCAAACAGTGGACCCTCATCCATCTGTTCAGTGGACGGGGTCTGAGGACTCTGCAGAAGCACACACATACAAAACATTAAATTAGATTCTATAGTCACAATGATAGTAGATATAGTGAAGGTACTTTCTGTTAGTGAGCAGTTACTGATCTGTCTGATGCCTGACAATGTTACTGTTCAAACCAAAGCATGTTTATTTAATATTTTTGGAATTAAAGAACAGAAAAAGTTTGGTATAGCCAGTTACTGATATTTGAACAGTGCATTTTAGTTTAGTGCAGAGAAATGTCGGGGTTGGCTGAGACTGAGGTTGTTAATCCATGAAAACTTGGACACTCTGCTCATGCACACACTTTGTTACATGTGCAAACAGAGGCACAGGAAATAGAGGAAAACATTATAGTCAGAGAAAGCCCTGGTTTACTCTTTTTGCATTGCTAATGTGTTCCACCTTTGTGTGGCTGACTACACAGCTAATTCACGATACAGGGGCCAGTGTGGGTCAGAGCACAAGGACCCACCCGGGCTGAGTCACAGCGCTCTGTCTACTGGCCACGATCTGACTCACCGCTCCTCAACAAACTCTGCAACAACGTTCTCACTCCTCCACATACATACACTGCGGAATATATTAGTACATCACACAGATGGAAAAGTCTCTCAAGACAATCATTCTGACACCTTATTGCCTTAAGTTCCCTGCTGCCGATTCCAGTCAACTCTGATGACGTGAAGTTAAAGATGTGGGTGGAAAGCAGTCGATAGCATTTGCATTGATCTGCAAAATGTTTGTCTAAATGAATATATATGGCATTCCAAATGCCAGGACGCCTCTCATCAATTGCTGTCCCTGAATTGAAAAATCCTTCCACTTCATCTACAGCAGAAAACTTGTTTCCTTCTGCCACTGACGTATAGGTAGTTTCACCAACTTGTTCTTCCACAATGCACTCACAGATTAGTGAACTTGCTGCTATGCATTTAGGGTAGTCAGTTACATAATGTGCAATCCTACTTGCCACCCCCTAAGCCCATTACCTCTGAGGGTAGCAGTATAAAAGACCTTGATAATATGCCTTTAGAGGAATATACAACCTTAATATATAGGCCTCTCCCCTCTATAAAAAAAGATGGATTTTTAGAGGCTCTTTGTGAGCAAAATGGCTCCTGACAGAACTGTTACTGTCAAATTGGTTGAAGCTGTAAATTATTTCCATTCAGTTCAGCAGTAAGGTGGTGTTCAAGATGGTGTCCATCAATCAAAGATGTTCAAATCTCCACCCCCCTGAAGTACTGCAGAGTGAGACACAGAGGTGCTGTTCTATTACTGAACTAAACTTTGAACACACAACTTTCTCCTAAGTGATGACAGGTGATCATACTTTATATACAGTTATTATTAACATAAATGTAAAATGCGACATTTTACTTATTCTTGCCAAGAGTCAGATATTTGCTGAATATAAACTATTGCCAGCAGCTGGCTAACATAGCTTAGCACAAGAACAGAAAACAGCTGCTCTGTGTATATGTATTTCAGCCTGTGTGTATAAGAATAAAACAGAGTGAAAAGAAGAATTTCCCCAATAGGGGGATTAATAAAGTATATACCTTCTTCTATCATCTTCTTCTTCTGGAATGGCGCCTGTTACAACGGCAGTCTGTTATAGCAGCTCCTATAATTGTTGTAGTTTTAGGGCTCTATCTTGCACTCAGCGCAATTGACTTTGTACACTGGCGCTTGTATAATTCCTATTTTGCATTCGACGCACATTGGAATTTTCCCTCCACCGACGCACGTCCTTAAATTAGGGAATGAACTTGTGCTCCGGGGGACGGTTCAGCGAAAAGAGGAGGCGTGTTCCGGCGCAAACGTTCCCTAGTGCTATTTTGCTGTTTCAGAAAACAATTCCGCCACAGACCAGGAAAAACCTAGCCTAAAGTCAGTGGCGCTTATTCAGATGCTATTTTAAGGGCGCAGACTTGAGGGGATGCACCTGAGAGGCAGCAGCGACATTGCCACCTGGTCAAGACGGGCATTAATACTTTGCCGCATCCCAAAAAGCTCCTGCTCCAGCATGTCAAACCCGGTTTGCTGCAGTAACGGGTGAACCTCCGGCGTGTAGTGGGTCTGGAACCTCTGCTCCTTGGTGTTTGCACTGCTCCCTCCTCAGCTGGCCCTTGCACACGGCTCGGCCCGTGCGCACTGCTCCCGAGGCCAGGGTCTTCTTCCTGCGAAGCTGCATTACATTGTTTGGATTTATTGTATGGCTGTGTTACATTTATTTCATGTCAATAATGTCACTTCTCTGTATTTTACGGCCCTGACGAGAACGTTGGTCTCCTTGGCTGTGAACCGCTCCTGGCGTGCGCCTGGCAAATCCGCCGTTATAATAGCAATCCGCCATGGAACAAGCGCGCCTGCTTTTAAATGGAATGTGAGATGGCGCTCTGATTGGTTTATTGCACGTTACGCCCAAACCACACATATGACTAATGTAGCTACTTCAGACCAACCCATTTTAGATTTGTGCCGGGCGCAAGAGTCATTTATCCTGCCGGCATAATAGCAACAGTGCCTAAGATCCGCCCACAAAGCTACTTGCGTTTTGCGTTTGATACTTGCGTTTCAGATCGGCAAGATAGGGCCCTTAGTGTGTTTTCAGTGTGTTTTTTGCTATTTTTAACAGTTTTATTACTTTCTTACTACTTTTTCACATCGCCGTAATACTTTTTCGCCGTTTTTGAGCACTTTTTATTTTTTTGTTTACACTGGTCTCTATGGCGACTGGGGAGTCGCATTGTTTACACCCGCGACCAGATGATCGCCCTGAGGCACCGTAGCATCCTGACTGTAGAGAGACCCTCCATACCGGAGGAACTGAGAAGGAGACAGCGAGGCTGCAGAGAGGAGGTTAAACGGAGGATGAAGAATAGGAGGTTTAAACCCTACATCCCTGCAATCATCACTGGCAATGTAAGGTTGCTGGCAAATAAAGTTGACGAACTGGAAGCGCTCACCAGGACACAGAGGGAGTACAGGGAGTGTAGTATCATGTGTTTCACGGAAACATGGCTACACAAGCAGATACCGGACTCCAACATCACCATTCCAGACGGCTTCCAGACGCGACCAGCAAGAAGAAAGAAGGGGGTCTGGCTGTGCTCATAAACAACAGGTGGTGTAACCCCGGGCACGTCTGTGTGAAAGAGCATGTCTGCAGTCCGGACATCGAGCTTGTCGCCGTCGGACTTCGTCCATTTTATCTGCTACGTGAACTTTCCAGTGTTATCGCCATCACTGTTTACATTCCTCTGTCTGGGAAAGCATAAGCAGCGTGTGACGTCATCCACACTGTGACTGCAGGACTACAAACAAAAGCCTTCATCATCATCACAGGGGACTTCAACCATATTTGTCTCTCGTCCACACTCCCAACCTTCTACCAGTTTGTCACATGCACCACCAGAGACAATAAGACCTTGGACCTGCTGTACGCAAATGTTAAAGATGAGCTCCACTGCCCTGCCACCACTGGACAGGTCAGACCACAACCTAGTCTGGCTCTAACCATCATACAAGCCTGTGGTTCAGAAACAACCAGTCACAGTGAGGAAATGGTCTCCTGAGGCCATAGAAACACTGCGTGGAGCAGTGAAGGCCACCGACTGGGATGCTCTGTATGAGCCACACGGGGAGGACATTGATGGCTTTACTGACTGTGTCTCTGAGTACATTAGGTTCTGCATTGACAACTCCATCCCCACCAAGGAGGTCTGATGCTACCCAAACAACAAACCGTGGGTAACCAGCAACCTGAAGGCCCTTCTCAATGAGAAGAAGAGGGTCTTTAGATCAGGGGACCGAGCAGAACTCAAGCGTGTACAAAGAGAGCTCAAACACAGCATCAGGGGAAGTAAGGACGCATACAGGAGAAAACTGGAGGACAAACTGGAGAACAACAACACCAGGGACGTGTGGTGAGCGGTGCCATGTGAGGACGCGTTCTTACTGAGCTCCTCGCCAACACTATTAATAAATAAAGAAGCAGCTATTTAATGTAAAGACCTTGAGTCACGCTCATGATTGACGTCGCACCAGGCTTGAAATTTTGACCTAACGCTCACTGAAAATGTCTAAAAACCCCCGAAAAGCGCCTGATACAAGGGATAGCTCCAAGGCTAGCAGAGAGGCTAACGCTGCACCTGATGCTGTACCTAACGCCACACTTGACCACGGACCTGGACATGAGGCAATCCTTCTAGCAATCGCCGAGTTGAGGACTGAATTGCTCACCAAAGCGGAGGCACAATCCGCTGACATTTGGAACCAGGTTGACCAGCTAAGAGCAGAAATTAAACTAGCCAACGATAATGCTAATGCCCTAGATAAACGGGTGGTCGCCCTCGAGTCTGCAGCCGACAGCCACTCCGGCCTGATTGCTGCTCTGGAGCGGGACATGGTTAACGTGCGGAGGGAGCTTGCTACCCAGAAAGCACGAAATGAGGATTTGGAGGCACGGTCATGCTGCAATAACCTGCGCATTACTGGGATAAAGGAAAGACGGGAGGACAGGAAGCGCATGACGGATTTTATATCTCAGTGCCTGAAGGAGACGCTTGGTCATCGATAAGCCCCCTTTATTGGACCAGGCACACCGTACGCTGTGCGTGAGACCGGGTAACAGTGACCTGCCGAGAGGCTTCGTCATCAGATGCCATTATTACCAGAAGAAGGAGGAAATACTAAGGAAAGCTGGGCAGATGAAACAACTGACTACGGGTGACGGTGATAAGATCCGCATCCAACCAAACTACACACAGGAAGTAGCCAAGCAGCGGGCAGAGTTCAATGAAATGCGGGGCCTGTTAAGGAGCTGTGAGGGAATCCGCTATGGCCTGTGGTACCCAGCGGAGCTGAGGATAACGCCGGATGGCGTGCGCACAAGCTTTAAAGACCCAAAACAGGCCAAGGATTTCATAATGAAAAACCTGAAGCGTGCAACCTGAGGATGTGACAGCGCAGAGTGACGTGCTTTCTGTGGTTTCCC